TGTGATGTATGTCTTCACCTGTAATTAGGGGGCTTGCATGTCCCCAGAGAATATAAAAGCCTTGGTAAGCATTAAATATCTCTATCTCCATGTGGACCACCAAGTGAGGCTGAGGTGAGCATTGCTACCATGAAATGTGTCTGCCTCCATTATTTCAATCTCTCTTCTATCTCTCATGCTCTCTATGCCCTTACTATAATCTTTATTATTATCATCATCATCGCTGTACAGGGGCTTCCCCTGGCACCATATGGTCCTAACAGCAACTTAGACTCTTTCTTAAGGGCAAAATTAGAATATTTCATAAATGGCATTTATTTATTAGGGTAACTCCACTTAAAGTACATCAAAATTGTGTACACATATTAATAGTATACACACATAAACAGGCAGGCACACACGCACACACATACAATGAGTTACTGCAATGGCTTAATTCCTGACCAACTCTATGGAGTCTGGGAACATGTAAATAGCAGCCATCTCTCTCAAGACGTACTTACCTTAAATAAGTCTGCAACTAGTCCGTAATCTGCCACTTGGAAAATTGGAGCTTCTGGGTCTTTGTTAATGGCTACAATGGTCTGTTGGGGGGGGGGGGCGGGAAGGGGGAGAAGAGTTAGACTTTATCAAGAAATCATTTATCACAGAGTAATTATTCTATTCTTGACTCTCCTTCCAATTCATAGTCCTAGAACTCTCTACCAAGTAAGACTCATTTGGTGTCTCTCTAGCAACATTGTACATTTATTATAAATTCCTAAATTGAAACATAACAAAAGTATCTCCCCATTCCCCCACAAGTCTATTTTAAAAAGTTTTGAAATCATTGTGTAACATAAACTCTCCACTGTAACCATTTTTAAGGGTACAATTCACTGGCATAAATTATATTCACAATGTTGTATAATCAATACTACTATTTATCTCCAAAGCCTTTTCACCACCACAGAAACTGTCTCCCCATCAAGCAGTACCTTCTTGTCTTCCCTAGGCCCTGCCTGTTACCTTCATTTACTTTGTCCATTCTAGATATTTCAGAATATTTCATTTCAGATGGGTAGCACAGGTAGAATCAGGATCATACTTACTTATCCTTTTGTGCCTGGCTTAGTTCACTTAGCAGAACGGTTTCATGGTTCACACATGTCACAGCATGTTTCAAACTCTACTCCCTTTTCTGGTTGAATGCTACTACAAGATGTGACTGTACCATTTTTACGTCTCCATCCATGTGTACTGTGGGCTATTAGGACTGATGCTGCAACAGACACCGGCACACAGCATCTGCCCGAGCCTCTGCTTTCCATTCTAGGAGTCGAACGGCTGGGTCACATGGTCGTTCTAGGCTTCTTTTTTTTTTAAAGCAATTGCCAAACTGTTTTCCATAATTATGATTGTTTTCTAAAAGCTCCTTTTTGACTTATGGGGGTGGGGGTGGGGAAGAGTTTGATTTTAAATTGAAAAAATAAATCCACATCCGAATTTACAACTGTTGTACCTCAAAGTATTTCTACCTCCAAATATTCCATACCACCTGCTGTTTTCCTGTTCTCACCCTTTGTTCTGAGAATACGCGGGTTAACTATCTAGTCTGCCTGGAAGTCAAGGACAACCTTAGAACAAATGACGCTAAGTTCTTATGTCTATAGAAAATGCAAGTATAAAGTTTCTCTTCTCTCCTACAATTTTTAAAAAATTTTACAAGTGTAAAAGTTTACTATCATATTAAAGATAAATGATCACTCAAAAATGTGTTTGTTGTTCACCAATCATTCTTTTATTAACATAAGACTTATTTATATATTCCAAATAGTTTGGCATTCCTGTAGATGCTTCTAATACCTTTTCAATGAAAGTAAAATTCGTTTTTACTCGAATGTGGTAGGCATTGTGGTAGTTACATGATTTCATATCAACTTGATAAATAAAATGAAGGGGTGGAGTCTAACTTGTCAATCAGGTCACAAGGTCACACACACCAGGAGGATTCTGGGAACTTCTTCCCTGGAGGTGGGAAACACACTCTCTCTCTGCTTTATATTCCTGTTGACAAGTCATATGGCGCCATGCTGATGGCAGCCAAGGCCCTGGAGATGTGTCCACTGCCACTGGACCCACAGGACTTTACATCCTCCAGCCTGCGATCTTCCTGCATTCGGCATGATTGCATGGCAGCGTGAATCTGAAGAGGGACTCATGGACTAATATGGGACTTATGGGCTAATATCGAACTTATGGACTTGATCTGGACTGGGCTGAGATGTTTTATTGATGCAAAATTACCTCTTGATATCAAGTTCTCTTTTACATATATATGAGTGTGTCTGGATTTATTTCTCTAGTGAACCTGGACTAACACAGGTATTAATTGTGGGGGCAGACAGCCTCATCTTTCGCCTATAGAGCTGCTGGTGGGTTTGAACCACCGACTCTGCAGTTAGCAGTCCAATGTTTACCCAATAGTGCCACCAGAGCTCCTTATATTATAATTCAAGTCCCTAGATATAAAATTAAGTTTCTACCTGCCTGTTACTGTTCTTATAAAAATAGCAAAAGTACATTTGGAGAGTAGTTTCATATATTCTAACTTGCAATATATACCATAAGCTCCTTACAAGGGCAGAATATTCCAGAATATGTGGGACTAGGGCACAGTGACTACTAACCCAGAGAAACATGCCATAGGTATCACACACCTTGGATAGAAACAAACTGTGGTTTCAAATAAAAGCCTCAAGTGCAAAGGCACAGAACAAACATTTGAATCACAGGCTTGGATTCCCATGGAGGTGCTTCTCCTCTGGGACTCTGACGTCTCCTCGTGGCTACCAGCAGAGACCTGTTTCATTGTGGTGGTTGATGATTTCTCCTGGAGGCCACAAAGCCAAGCAACTGACACCTGAAAGCTTTTCAGCACAATGCATACGTTGGAAACAGCCTCTAACTGTGGGCAAGGCCCCAGTCAGGTCTCAGTTTCTTCAGATTACTAAACAACCTTCCTTGTGAGCAGCTGTCAATACACGGGAAAGTCTTGCTTGTGTTCTACAGCACTCTTTAGTTTCTTGTAATGGCTGATCTTCTACCCCTAGAGTTTTAAACTCACAGATGACACTCGACCACATTAATATGCATATAGTTCCAAAAGTGCTTTCATTTATATTGGTTCATTTCAGATAACAATCATATCTTGTGTTCTTTCCACAGTGGTCATTAAAATTGCAGCTCATAAGCAACACAACTCACAGGTTTAACGCAATCACCCTAGTAATCCATTTGAGAACTTCGCCAAAACTACAGCTGGAGCTTACTCAGGGGCAATGTGTTTTTCATTTCAGCATCCCAAGCATCTAGAACCAGGACCATGCTCAACAAAGATTTCTTGGGTGATGGAGAGACGAAGTCTTGGCTCAAGTGCATTTTAATGGGTTGTTCCCCAACTTGGGTCCTCTAATTCAACTGTCCCGTTTGCGTTTCATATACTGCCTAGTGCTCCCCACCCCCACCCCCACCCCTAGTCCATCCTGACTGGCATAGGGTAAAACACTTCACTGGGATTTTCCTGGCAGGCAGAGTCTTCTATTTTAGAGCAGCAGCGTTTCAGATATGTCTGTATATTTTATTTAAGGTTGGTGGAGTGGTTTTTTTTTCTCCCCTCTAATGCAACAATAACATTTTCCCCATCGGCAGTGCTGTTTTCATTGCTCAGTGGAGAAACCTACCATCCAACTGTGAAATGTGACTGGTTTGGGGCCAATTCATTTAGAGGCTACAAGGAGGCAGTGCTCGTATTTCTTGGAGTTAAAAGTGAAACCTGTTAAAAGTTTTATTACCTGTTACATCAAACTTCCACCTCAACGGATAAATGCAGGCATGTCAGAGGCATCTCTGACTTCATGAAAGACTAAGCTCATAATTCAAACTGTGCACTGTTATGCATGAATTAATGTGTCATATTCTGTAATATATGTTCAGAGCCATTACACAGGACTTCCATATAGAGTTCAGCTAGCACGTTAAAATCAAGGGTTTCCTCTCCACACCAGACTTTTGATACCTTCTGAGATCTTAAGGTGGCCTAATGCTCCGACCAAAGGTACTAGCCAGGCCTTGGAAACAGCTCGTGTGGCGCTACTACCGATGGCAGAAAAAGGGAGAGCCGGGGCACCAGGGAGAAGAACACAGAGGGCAACCAGGCATCAGCTCATCCAAGCTGTTCACGGCCCACATTTTCTACCCGCAGGTTTACGAGCGGAAAGGGACCTGAGAGACCACAACTGAATGCCTGCATGCAGCAGGGGACGAAACTGAGGCACACACAGAACTGGGCCGGCAGTAAGAGCCGGGAGGGGTTCGGGTCGGGCCTCTTTCGGCGAGTGACACAGCACGGCCTCTCTGAGCATGCAGTGAGCAGCGGTCACTATTCCTTCCAGTTCCCAGATCGGGGCTAATATAAAAGGGCCACTACACACTTTGTAATCACAAAGAAAGCGCACCGTGAAATTCAAATTTTAAAAAAAGTCTCTGCCTTTAACTCACAGGACTGCTGTGCATAGTTACCTTGCTATCTTTCATCCCAGCTAAATGCTGGATGGCTCCAGATATTCCCACAGCAATGTAAAGTTCCTGAAATAAAAGACATCAATCATATTATTCATATCTATTTATAGAATACTTTCTAAAGCTATTAGCAACAAGCTGTAAATAAAGGATATTTTAAATTAAAAATAAGAAACCACCTGTATTGTTTATATTTTTCTTGTTTTGTGAGCAGTCCTCTTTTCCCTGAATGCATTGCCCCGAATGTTAATCGATATGCAGATGAGGATAATGAGCATTGATGAAGCGTCAGTCCCTGTACTAACCTCCCCTCCTCTCGCCATGACCTGGGAGGTGTACTTTTTGTCTGGGCCATTCATTTGGGTAACGCCTCGATTCATTCACACTGTACAACCCATTCACACTGCACACACACTGCACACACACTGCAGACACACTGCAGACACACTGCAGACACACTGCAGACACACTGCAGATTGACACAGAAGCACGGAGTCTGATTTTGTGTTTCCTTTGTGACTTAGTTGTTTCCCTTCTCGTTAATAGAATTCTTTGTTAAATTAGGAATTATGCTTAAAGCCCCCCAAAAAACCCAACCTTAATGCCACAGAGCAAATTCCCACTCACAGGGACCCTAGTGAAGGGTTTCTGAGACTAAAAATGGAAATGTAGAGTAGTGCCAAGAGGTCCTAAAGACAGTGCCTCTCTCCCCTCGCTCTCCCTCCTTTCTCAACACAGAACAAACTTCTGGAAGGCAGGGGCTGAACCTTTGTACTGACTGCACCTAACAAAAAGCCCTCTCCACCGGGACACGCACACTGTAGTTGCTAAGTAAATGCTGGTGACAACAGGGACACATACTGTAGTTGCTAAGTAAACGCTGGTGACAACAGGGACGCATACTGTAGTTGCTAAGTAAATGCTGGTGACAACAGGGACGCCAGCCCTCTTCCTCCCCCCACCCCCAAATCACAACGTGAAGGGAATGATGACTCTCTAAAATGTTTCTTCTCTCCGTGTTTGAATGCACACGCATTCTCTTGCTGGCAAAGTGATTAAATGAAGGGCTTCACTGAGAAGGCTTAGCCTCTCCATTCCGCCTACTCGGTAACATTAAAGCTTCAGCCAAAAGCTTAGCCTGCGATGCCCTGAACTAACCCGCCCTGGGGGTTAGTTCTCTGGGGGTGGCAGGAGCGCACACCACGAGCCAGACTAACCCTCGAGTTTTGTCACAAGGGACAGTAAAGTCTCCTCAATAGGAAGCGCAGAGGGGCTGTCACGCTCACTTTTATTACAGGGAAGACACTCCACAGCCGCCTGGTGTCAGGCAGTGCACTGCATTTTCTGCACTCCTTATGATCCAAGTGAAAAGGAGCCGTTCCAAAAGAAGAGCATATTTCAGCAAGGATCTGGGAACAATGCAGCTGCCCCTCCACTATGGTCTGACGAAGCACCTACCGGGTGTGCCGTGAACACACTGGGCCAGTGGCCAGAGTGCACGGAGGCAGCTTAGC